TAACTCGGGAATCAGAAGAACCAGAAAGCTAGAATTCCAGAAGGATATTTCCTGCTTATGCGCCACCCCATAAACACAGGATTCAGCGCGAAAGTCACTACCACGGCTGAAATTATGGGCGGATGTGCCCCGTTCACGTGCGACCCAAAGGTTCCAAATTCAGCTTTCATGAATGTCTACGTTTCACGGACTCTAGCATGAAACTTTTGCCGTGAAATTTCGCAGCCTTGAAACCAGACAACATATTGATTATTTTGAAAATTCTTAACAGCAAATGTCCGCTGCGCAAAATGCATGATCACTCTGGCCATCCTGGTGTGTACCGCTATTCATTTTGTTACTTTTCCTGTAGTATTAATTCTTTTCAATACATGTGAAATATATCAAATTTATGCTAAAAAGCGAAAAAAAAAGTCACCCATCTGACAAGCGTGTTGATTACTGATTGTGTTCGTAGCAGTAATCCATGACTGGCATTGCCCGTATGGGAAGCTGATCATATAGGCATCCATGGAGACACATCTTTTCGTTGATGGGCACCACATGCACTGCTCATTGATGCACACTTGACAGTCGTCATGGAACCAGCAAGGCGCATGGCATGACTCATTTTTGGCCGATGGATTTATCATACTACCCAAAGTGCGCGACGAAGAAACATGCTCGGATTGAGTGTGCTGCTGCTGCTGTTGCTGCTGCTCCTCCTCCAGTAGCAGGTCTGAAACTACAAAAAAAATGAACTGCCCATTCGATACGAAATGCAGAAAACGGGGAAAAAAAAAACAAGCATTATGAAGGAGTAACAGAAGGACAGTACAAGCAAGCAAATTTCAGTTTAGCATGGAAATGAATTTTAAAAAAAACACACAATAAGGTCCAGCCATAAATCGTCCGTGCTACTGCACAGCAACAGGCCCTATCTCATCACCTTATCAAACAATAACTAAATTTCGTTTGAGGAAAATGGTAAATTAGGGATGCAAAAGAATAATTGGATATATACAGCCTACATCGAGAATCGCTCCACATATCAAGAAGAGGCGAAATGGTCAGTTTCTTCAAATCAAGCAATACCA